GCTCTGGGGTAGGGCTGGGGATGAGGGGTTTGGGGTGCAGGAGGGGGATCAGGGCTGGGGCAGGGGGTTGGGGTTTGGGGGAATGAGAGCTCTGGGCTGGGGTGCTGGCTCTGGGGTGGGGCTGGGGATGAGGGGTTTGGGGTGCAGGAGGGGGCTCTGGGTTTGGAGGGGCTGGGGCAGGGGATTAGAGCGCAGGCTAACCCCACGCGGATCCCGGTCAGTGACGGTGCTGCAGGGCTAAGGCAGGCTAGTCCCTACCTGTCCTGGCCCCGCGCTGCACTCGCGCCGGAAGCGGCCAGTAGGTCCGGCACTAGTAGGCGGGAGAGGGGGGCAGGAGGCGCCGCACATGAGGCTCTCGCCCACAGGCACTGTCCCCCCAGCTCCCATTGGCTGGTTCCCGGCCAATGGGAGTGCGGAGCCGGTGCACGCAGAGCCCTGTGGTCCCCCTGCCTAGGAGCCGGACCTGCTGGCCGCTTCCGGGGCGTAGCACGGAGCCAGGGCAGGTAGGGACGAGCCTGCCTTAGCCCTGCAGCACCACCGACCGGACTTTTAATGGCCCAGTCGGCGGTGCTGATCAGAGCCGCCAGGGTCCCTTTTCGACTGGGCGTTCTGGTCCAAAACCGGACACCTGGTCACCCTACATGCTGCCTGCCTGCCCCCCGAGGCCAGCCCTGCCCTGTGGGGACCGCCCCTGTCTGCGGCTCTGCCTCTCTCACCTTTGGCCTCTGGTGCATTTCAGATCAAAGACCTATGACCCATCCTTCTCCAAAGAGACCGAACAGGAGCCGACTCTGGGCAGGCAGAGGGCCACCTCGTCTGCTGTAAGTCCCCCCCAAACTGAGATGGGGCACGGGGGGTGGGGATGTACACTGGGGGTTGGGGGTTGGGATGGGCACCAGGGTTTAGGATGGATGCTGGGGGGAGTATCGGGGGGGGTTGGGATGGGTACTGGGTGTGGGTTTGGGATATCTCGGGGAGTTGGGAGGGGGCGCTGGGGCAAGGGGTGGGGGTGCGTGCTGGGGGTGGGATACCTGCGGGGGGGGGTTGGGATGCCCGCAAGGGGGGTATTAGGATGGGTCGCTGGGTGGGGGGTTGGCACCATCCATTTGCCAGGGTACCTGGCATTAGCACTGGGCTGTGCCAGCTGCTGGAGGGACGGCTCTCCTGGAGTGGGGTTGGCAGCGCCAGGCAGGTCCCGGCGGATCCATCCCCCCAGCCAGCCAGGGGGAGATCTGGGACAGCTCCCCGTGTGCCCACAGCCTCCATCAGGTCCCGCGGGTGCCTCCTCCCCTGCCCCCCCCCGCCGCCGCCCCCATGGGATCCGGGGGGCCCGTCCTAGTGTCAAGGCACATCTCGAGTTTGGCTGATAGCCCTTGGGATGGGGCCCAGTGGGGGGGCTCTGAGCTGGCCCCAGGCTGATGGCAGCCCCAGCAGAGACCCCAGGGCCCGTCGGGGGGAGGGGCTCGTTCTCCAGGGCTGACCCTGCCCCTGCTCTCTCCCCAGTTAGCCAAGCGCCTGGCGAGCTACCACAAGGCCTTCAAGGAGATGCCCGAGGAGGAGTCCCTACTGGACAGTGAGTGCCGCTCCCCCCAGCCTCCCGCCTGCCCCCCCACGCCTTGCCCACTCACCCGCCCCTCTGCCCCTCGCCCTCAGGTGTCTCCTGTGCCTGGCAAAGGGAAGTCCCCTATCACGGGCGCCTCTACATCTCCCAGAACTACATCTGCTTCCACTGCAGCATGCTGCTCCGGGACGTCAAGGTAGGGCCCCTGCGCTGGGGCACACGCCGCGCCCCACGGCTGCTCACGTGGGCTGGTAGCATGTGTGTGTGGGGGGGTGGGTTGTGCAGTGGGAAGGAGGTGGGGGGGACAGGCGTGGGATGTGTGGGTTATGTGGGGGGAAGGGGATGGGGGGGTGTAACGATGCGATTCTGGCGGGACCCAACTGAGAGTGCCAATTCAGGATCAATTGCTTAAAACAGGGCAGTTACAGCCCTAGGCTGGGGTTTTTCCACCTCTAAGGCAAACCAAACCAGCCAGACAAAGAGGACTTTGGTCTCACCTCACTGGCTAACCACAAGTCACACAAGCAATTCCCTTAGACACTCCAGTTTCCCAGTATTACCACCAGTGCCACTCGTTATGGGGACAAATTGTTATGAAAACCAATACCCCAGTAAAAGAAAAAAGGTTCTCCTGATCCCATAGGACCAAGCCCCAGATCCAGGTCAATATACAAATCAGATCTTACCCACAAATCCCGCTGTTGCCAATCCTTTAGAATCTAAAATCTAAAGGTTTATTCATAAAAGGAAAAAGATCTAGATGAGAGCTAGAATTGGTTAAATGGAATCAATGACATACAGGAATGGCAAAGTTCTTGGTTCAGGCTTGTAGCAGTGATGGAATAAACTGCAGGTTCAAATCAAGTCTCTGGAACATCCCCAGCTGGGATGGGTCACTCAGTCCTTTGTGTAGAGCTTCAGTTTGTAGCAAAGTCCCTCCAGATGTAAGAAGCAGGATTGAAGACCAGATGGAGATGAGGCATCAGCCTTATATAGTCTTTTCCAGGTGTAAGAACACCTCTTTGTTCTCACTGTGGAAAATTACAGCAAAATGGAGTCTGGAGTCACATGGGCCAGTCCCTGCATACTTTGCTGAGTTGCAAGGCGTATTTGCCTTCTCTCCATGGGTCTATTGTATAGCTGATGGTCCTGATGGGCCATCAAGCAGGCTAGGCCGAGCTAACACCAACCTGTCTGGGATGTCACCCAGAAGCATAGCATAAATTTGAAATACAGACAGTATAGAGCCAATATTCATAACTTCAACTACAAAATTGATACACACATATAGACAGCATAATTATAACCAGCAAACCATAACCTTGTCTTAGACACCTCATTTGACCTGCTTTATACAAGATTTGGTGCCACTACAGGACTTTGGTTGCACCCGTGTTCTATATGGTCCCAGATTATGTCAATAACGTCACAGGGGGACAGGTGTGGGATGTGTGGGTTGTGTGGGGGAGGGGAGGTGGGTTGGGGGAGGGGTGGACGGGATGTGTGGTTGGTGTGGGGGGGCACCCCCGCCTGCCCTGGGTTCTGGGGACCAAAGCGATCGGGGGGTGTCCATGGCCTCGGGGTCCTCGCCCCTCCCCGAGCAGGAGTGATGCCGTGAGCGATGGGCCCATCACCCGCTGCACCCCTCTCGCCCCACAGGTGGTGATCCCCGTCTCCTCTGTCGCCATCCTCAAGAAGGCGAACACGGCGCTGCTGGTGCCCAACGCCCTCAGCATTCGGACCGCCGAGGGCGAGAAGGTGCGAGCAGAGGGCAAGGCACGTGGTGCGTCCACCCACCCGCAGCACCGGGAGCAGAGCGAGCCCAGGGCAGCCCATGCGGTGCCCCCCCCCATGGCACCGGGAGCAGACTGAGCCCTGGGCAGCCCATGC